ATAAATATAATAGTAAAAATAATAATAATAACCTTAAATATAAATGGATTAAATGCTGCAATCAAAAGACATAGGGTAGGTGACTAGATAAGAAAACATGACCCATATATATGCTATTTACAAGAGACCCACCTCAGAATGAAAGAATCACACAGGATGAAAGAAAAGGGGTGAAAAAATTTTCCATGCAAATGAAAACAAAAACAAAGTGGGGATAGCAATACTTATATCTGACAAAACATACTTCAAAACAAAGGCCTTAACAAGAGACAGAGATGATCACTACATAATACTAAAGGGATGGACCCACTAAGAGGATATATAACTCTGGAAAAAAACATATGCACTGAATATATGAGCACCTAAATATATTCAGAAGCTCCTGGAGGACTTTAGGGAGATACAGACAGCAACAGAGTCATAGTAGGGCACTTTAGCACCCCACTGACATCACTGGATAGATTTTCCAGACCAAAAAAAAAAATCAACAAGGAAATAATGACCTTAAATGACACACTAGGATCAGATGGATTTAATTGAATCTAAAGGTAGGCCACATGCTAGGACACAAAATAAGCCTTTACAAGTTCAAGAAGACTGAAATCATATCAGGTATCCTCTTGGATCACAATGGCAAGAAAGTAGAAATGAACTAAAATAAAAAATAAAAAAACCTCAAAATCATTCAAACACATGGAGTCTAAATAGCATGCATGGGTTACCAATGAGATCAAGGAAGAAATAAAAAAAGTAAAAACTTCCTGGAAACAAATGAAAATGAACACAAAGTGACCTCAAACCTATGGGACACAGCAAAAGTAGTCCTGTGAGAGAAAACCATAGGTTTACAGGCCTACCTCAAGAAATAAAGAAAAAGCTCAAATAAATGGTCTAACACTACAAGCAAAACAATTAGAAAGAGAACAACAAGAAAAACCCAGAGGAATCCAAGGGAATAATAAAAATCAGAGTGGAAATAAATGACATAGAGACTTAAAAAAAAACCTACAAAAGATCAATGAAACCAAGAGCTAGTTCTTTAAGAAGATTAAAAAAAAAGATAAAACTTTAGCCAGACTCATCAAAAAACAAAGAGAGAGGACCCAAATAAATAAAATCAGAAATGAAGGAGGTCAAAGAACAACTGACACCACAGAAATAAAAAGGATTGTAAGAAAATAATATGAACATCTAAATTGCACAACCTAGGTGAAATGGACAAATTCATGGAAATATACAATCTTCTAAAACTCAACCAGGAGGAATCAGAAAACATGAATAGGCTGATAACAATTTTAAAAAGTGAAGCAGCAATCAAGAAACTCCCAGCAAACAAAAGCCCTGAACTGGATGGCTTCACAGGTGAGTTTTACCAAACATTCAAAGAATTAACACCTATCCTCCTTTGAAACTCTTTTTATGAGGCCAACATTATCCTAATTCCAAAAAAGATAAAGACACTACAAAGAAAGAAAATTGCAGGTCAATATCCCTGATGAACATAGATACTAAAATCCTCTACAAAATATCAACAAATCAAATCCAGCAATACATTAAAAAGATCATACACCATGACCAAGTGGGATTTATTCCAGGGATACAAGGCTGGTACTGTATTTGCTAATCAATAAATGTGATACATGACATAAATAAAATGAAGGATAAAAATCACACAATCATATCAATAGTTGCAGAAAAAGCATTCGACAAAATCCAACACCCATTTTTGATAAAAATTCTCAGCAAAATAGGAATAGAGAGATCAGACCTCAACATAACAAAGGCCATATATGACAAAACTACAGCCAACATCATACTCAATGGGCAAACACTAAAAGTGTTTCCCTTAAGAAGAGAGCATGACAGGGATGTCGGCTTTCACCACTCTTATTCAATATAGTACTGGAAGTCCTAGCCACAGCAATTAGACAGGAAGAAAAAAATTAAAGGCATCCAAATTGGAAAGGAGGAAGTAAAATTGTCATTATTTGCAGATGACATGATATTATATATAGATAACCCTAAACATTCCATCAAAAAACGACTATAACTAATAAATGAATTTGGGAAAGTAGCAGGATGCAAAATTAACATCAGAAAATCAATGGTGTTTTTATACACCAATAACAAACTATCAAAAGGAGAAACTAAAATAACAATACCACTTACCATTGCAACAACAACAACCAAAAATAAAATACCTAGGAATAAACTTAACCAAGGAGGTAAAAGACCTACACTCAGAAAACTATAGGACATTGAAAAAAGGAAAAGAGAAAGATACAAACAATTAGAAGCATATACAATATTCATGGTCTGGAAGAATTAACATTATTTAAATGTCTATACTACCCCAAGAAATGTATAGATTCAATGCAATTCCTATTAAAATACCATCAGCATATTTTACAAATCTCAAAAATATATTCCAAAAATTTATATGAATGCAAAAAGACCTCGAATAGCTGCAGTAATCTTGAGAAAGAAGAATAAAGTTGGAGCGATCACTAAAATGGATTTCAAACTATACTACAAAGCCATTGTAATCAAACAGCCTGGTACTGGCACAAGAACAGGTATATAGATCAATGGAACAGAATTGAAACCCCGGAAGTCAACCTACAACATTATGGTCAATAAATATCTGACAAACGAGTCAAAAGCATACAATGGAGTAAAAGTAGTCTCTTAAATAAATGGTGTTGGGAAACTGGACAGGTGCATTCAAAAAATGAAATTAGAAAACAAACTTACACCATATACAATAATAAACTCAAAATAAATAAATGACTTAAATGTAAGATGAGAAACCATAAAAGTCCTAGAAGACGACATAGGCAGTAAGATCTCAGACATCTCATGTAGCAGAATTTCTGCTGATACATCTGCTAGGGCAAAAGAAACAAAAGAAAAAATGAACAAATGGGACTACATCAACATAAAAAGTTTGCCACAGCAAAAGAAACCATCCTCAAAATGCAAAGGGAACCCACTGTATAGGAGAACATATTCACCAATAATACATCATTTAAGGGGTTAATTTCCAAAATATATAAAACTCATACAACTCAACAAAAGGAAGACAAACAATACATTTAAAAAATAGGCAAAGGACCTGAATAGACACTTCTGTAAAGATGACAAACAGATGGCCAAGAGGCATACGAAAAAATGCTCAATGTTACTAGTCACCAACAAATTAAAACTACAATGAGGTGTCACCTCACACCTCTCAGAATGGCTATCATCAATAAATCTGAACGGCAAGTGTTGGTGAGGATATGGGAAAAAGAGAACACTAGTACACTGCTGGTAGGAATGCAGACTGGTGCAGCCACTGTGGAAAGCAGTATGGAGTTTCCTAAAAAAAATTTAAAATGGCCCTAACTGGTTTGGCTCAGTGGATAGAGCGTTGGCCTGTGGACTGAAAGGTCCCAGGTTCGATTCCGATCAAGGGCATGTACCTTGGTTGCGGGCACATCCCCAGTAGGAGGTGTGCAGGAGGCAGCTGATCAATGTTTCTCTCTCATCGATGTTTCTAACTCTCTATCCCTCCCCTTGCCTCTTTGCAAAAAAATCAATAAAATATATTTAAAAAAAATTTAAAATGGATCTGCCATTTGACCCAGAGATCTCACTTCTGGGAATATATACTACGAATCCCAAAACACCAATCAGAAGGAATACCAGTATATCCACCCCTATGTTCATAGCAGCATTATTTACAAGAGCTAAGATCTGGAAACAACCCCAAGTATCCATCAGTAGATGAGTGCATAAAAAAGCTGTGGTACATTTATATAAGTGGAATACTATGGGGCTGTAAAGTAGAAGGAACTCTTACCCTTTGAGACAACATGGATGGACATTATTATGCTAAGCAAAATAAGCCTGTCAGAGAAAGGCAAATATCACATGACCTCATTTATATGTGGAATCTAATGAACAAAATAAACTGATGAACAAAATAGATCCAGAGACATAGAAGCATGGACAGACTAACAGATCTCAGAGGGAAATGGGGAGGTGGAGTGGGAAGAGATCAACCAAAGAACATATATGCATATCTGCATAGCCCATGGACACAAGACAGTGAGATGAAGGCCTGGAGTGGGCTGGGGGCCGGGTTAAGGGGGATGGGGAGGAAATGTGGGACATCTGCAATTCTGTCAACAAAAATAAATTTTAAAAATGATACAATTATGTGAAAAATTGTGCATCAGCCCCTCAGACATTTA